TTTTTTCTGGATGAATTGACATTTTATTTTCAGATGACCAACGCGCGAGCTCATTTAACTGATTTTGTAGACTAGGCGCTTCATTTTTCTTATATACCTCACATAAGGTTAAATCGTCCACGTATTTCTAGCGGTTATTATAACCGCTGAGAGAGTCATTAACTAAAACTTAAAAGATGATTGGACCCAATTTTCTACCTTGCGGTACGCCACAGGTTATTCCTTGCCATTCAGAGAAACCGCCGTTATATGAAACACGTTGTTTCCTTTCCGAAAGAAAATCACATATCCATGGGATTTTCTTAATTAATTATTGGTGCTCCAATATCAATCAGCTTGTTCACAGCAATTGTGTGGTCTATTAAATCGAATGCTTTTTTATAATCAATCGCTACCAGAGTAGCAATATTGTTTGGCAAGTCCAAACCACTATGGATGAAATGCATTAAGCTAGTAAGGTAATGGTTTACAGAGGAATTTTTGCGATTTCCAAATTGTCTTTCGTCAATAAATGGGGTAATCTTTGGATGTAAAAAAATCATAACAACATCTTCAAGTACTCGGATGAAAATGGATGTGATGGAAATAGGGCGAATCTGGTTAAGGGTTATTGTACCCTTCTCCTTAGGAATTGGTGTAATAGTGGCCTCCTTCCATCTTGTCGGTACCTTTCCAATTGCGAGTGATTTATTAAATATGTTCACCAAGGGTACGGCTAATTCGAACGCGAAAGTTTTTATCAACCGTACAGGAAGATCGCCTGGAGCTGCAGCTTTATTGCAATTCAGTTTCTTTAATCAGTAGTACACCTCCCAAAACGTTAACGTAGGTGGAGGTGATTTAAATGGAAGATACGTCGATAACCTATTTATTTGTAACGATTCAAAATGTTGGCAAATCTCAGATTCGAGTTAATCACTTCGCGAATTTTCTCAGGATCCGATTCATCAATGTTCAGATTTAATGAATCATTTTTATTTTTACTAGTTCCACACATTTTACCGATTTGTTTAAACCATTGCCTTGAGTTGGAAGTTAGTAAATGCGCTACTTCATATATATAATATTTAATCTTGGCTTGTTTAATTTCCCATTTGACGATATTTCTACACTTGCGGTAAATATTTGAAGACTGTCCATACTTGTTATATGCTAATTGTCTTTCCTTAATTTTTGTTTTTATTTTAGGCGTAATCCAGGGCTGGTCCGTTGAGTGTACAC